TGTCTGGGCACGGCAACTCAAGCATGAGAGAGCTGAAACCTCTCATGCCTCTAAGCTGGCATACTTTCATATTGCAATTCTACATTTTACATACATTCACTACAGATCTTGTACTATGTGCCACAGAAGCATAGAATAGCCCAGTTGGGAAAAAACCTCCAGAGATTATCTGGTCCAAGCTTTCATTAGAAGGGGAGCCCAGGTGAAATTATACAGCGCCCTGTCCAATTGCATCTTGAAACTCTCCTGTGATGCAGCCATGGGCACTTCTCATGTCCCTGGGGAGGTTGCTCCAGTGAATAATTGTTTAAAAAAAAATATTTTTTATGTCAAGATTCATGTTTATATCATACATATAAATTAATATTTCGATATATCCACATACCAATGTCATTACTGCAATGTTATAGTTGTCTTCCAAGACCCATCACCTGAGCAGTTTCCAAACTTCTTTGGCTTGTTTATTTAGGACCAAGTATTTTTTAATCTTCCCACTGACATCAAGCATAACTAGATCCTCACCAGCTCAGTAGCTGGGTTACTGACAGTTATTAACACCTCTGGAGTTGGGTTACTGACAGTTAACCACAGAAATCAGCAGCATTCACTCACTGACTTCGGTGTTCAGGACTGGAGTCAGGTTTATAAACTCTTCTACACTTTTTCATGTATTTAATTCTATTTCCAAACGAAAACAAAATAAAGGCACTCAGTAAGATGACAATATTTGGAAAATGTCCTTTTCTCCCTTCTGAACTTCTATTTATTAACTGATGCTTTTTGTTTTTAACATCTAGTGAAAGCAGCTGACATAGGCTATTTCTTACACAGTTTTGCTGGAGGGCCAGAAGATACATTGATGGAGGTGTCATCTTAGGAAGGCAAAGTACTCAAAATAATACATTAACACTGGCACCTCAGTTTGCCTAATACTATCTAAATTTTTAAAGCTTCTCAGTACCTGGAGTGTTGTAGCACATGTTAACTGTAGTATATCTGTCCCTACATGTTGCACACAGTCACACTTTTCCCATTTATCATAAATTGTAGGTGATGTCTTCAACTCTTTCAAATAATAAAAGCAATTTTCAAGAATGTGGTGGAAGGTAAAACTAACTGCTTTCCTTCCCAATTTAACTGATATCCACCAGTATTTCCACGATAATGGATTGGTCACTGGCAGCCTTCAGTAAAATGATAATACAATTATCCTAAATATAATTTGTTGTATCATTATTCCTCCCTTGAAACGTTCTTTATTTGAGAATAAGAAAGGGTCCTGGAATCTTTAAAATTCAGCACCCACACAACAGCTAAAAGTAGCTCTTCTACTCTCAGGCACCTACATTATCCTTATTCAGATAATAACAATAATAACAGACAGACTTTCAGGTGCTTTCTCTTCATTCATCTAATGGGTCCATTAATGATATGTTATTCAAAGCTGAAGATCAAATGGTGATTTTAAGTTTTCAAGAAATTCATAGGTGCCAAGTCTTTGTTGTTGAAAAAAAGTGTTTAAAACTGTGTTTTCTAAGCCAGGAGGTATTGGAATGACAGTAACAAGAATCAGGAAAGGAAAGGGATGAAGGGGCTTGTAGTACAAATGGACTAAGTAAACAAAAGTAATGGAAGTATAGGGAGCTTTGCAGGACTCTTTTGAATTGCTAGTTCCCTCATTGCTTTGTCTGTCTTTTCCATCTTGGAGAAACTTTACTTTGTGCACCCTGCCCCAGATGAAAATGGCTGTACAGAGACACAGGGCATGTGGAAATAACCTACAACTCCTGATTCTGGTTTTAGCATTAACTTACTGAAGTGCCATATTGCAGTCTGCGCTGGTGAATTGTTAAGTTCCACAAACTTCATATTTGAATTTAAAATTACATCAATAAATATGAAGAGTGTAAGAGCTCATCATTAAACAAATCCAAGTTAGAAGCATACTTTTTATTTCCTCAAAGCACTTTATAATTAGAGCTTTGTAAACAAAACCATAAATGGCACCAGCAATTATTTTTAGAGCAAGATTTGTCATAGCTAGTACACTTAGAAGTAGGTGCAACTACTTGTTAAGAAGTTAACATTAAATGCTGGGTAAAATTTTCAGCATCCAGCTCACTAAATTAAAATATGGCTAAGCAATAACGTGGCTTTGTTCCTGTACCAGAATGTAGACATTTCAATATCACAATGTAAGAAACCTGACATGCACAGTCGTAGCTATTGCAAAAAAGTGCCAGTGTAAATTTGTGACGTGGGTGTACTGTTTTCTGCTCTTCATCTGACAGCTATAATCATGCCTGCTATAAATCATGCCGGCCAACCTCTGAGATCTCTGAGAGGGTTGGACACTCTGAAACATGTCAGTCTTGAAAAGCTTTCCAAAGGGACAGGGTGAAAGAAAGCGGGGCAAATGAGCCCACAAGGAGCCAGCCAGCAGGTGCACATGTCCACCAAGCTCACCACTGACCCACCTGGCCCTTCACACTCCCAGCAACTCAGGCAAGTCCTGAGAAACTCAGTGCCAGCCATGAATCACTGGCACGTATCTTTGCTGGGTACAGACCAGCCAGGCTCTGTGTAGTGCTGAAGAAGTTAGGACAGGAGATAGGTGTGGTATATAGAGGTCTGGGGGTTTCCAGCCCAGTGTACACTGAGCCCGTGTTTGTCATGCCTGGGGAGTCTTCTCGGTCATTATCCACAGAGCAACTGGCAGAGAAACAGGATGCACCTTTACAACTCTCTGGCAGAGCACTGGGATAGCTCCTCATTTGAGCTCACTGAGACAAAATTAAACCCATAAAATGCTCATGTGAGGAACGAGATCATTTGCTGTCTTCCATCCTGAGGCGCAAACAGAAATGTAAGCGACAGCAGGGAGGCTTTCTAGAGCTAAATTTGTCTTCACTAAGTCATCAGTGACCTTGAACAAAAGATTTTGAGGGAAACAAGAGCCTAAGAAGAGATTCTGCTGAAAAGGATGGGGGAAGTAAATTATGCTCTGACTCAGTTCCTGTTACTCAGGATCACATGGGCACAAACTACAATAAATTTAAACATGAGAAAAAGCTTATTTTGCTTTAAAGAATGCTCAGACCCTGGCATTTCTTGCCTATAGAGGCTGGGTATCCTCCACCCCTGGTAACACATAAAACCTGAGGAGATGTGGCTGTTGGCTACCAGATCTGGGTGACCCTGCACACCTTCCATCCCCTGGAGTCTCTTTCCTCCTCTGCAGCCCTGTGTCTCCATGGCTTGTGCTGTGGGCCCTGATGGCTGGGCCCTGCAGCTTGACATGACTGGGTCAGTTTGGTGTGCTCGGTGCCCTTGGTGAGTCACACACCAGGCACCCACAGAAGCAGCACGGCTCAGCTACCCCGACATCTCAGGGCAGCAAGTACCATAGGTTTAGATTAGATATCAGGAAGAAAGTCTTTACTCTCAGGTCAGTGAAGAGCAGTGGAACAGATTGCCAAGACAAGCTGTGGATGTCCCAACCCTGGAAGTGTTCAAGACCATCTTGGATGGGGCTCTGAGCAACCTGGTCAAGTAGAAGGTGTCCCTGCCCATGGCAGAAGTGGGAAAGCTAGATGATCTTTAAAGTCCCTTCTGACCTAACCCATTCAATGACATTATTCTTTCTAACCCAAATAATTCAAGGACATTGCGATGCTGGAGTGCGTCCAGAGAAGGACAGCAAGGCTTGTGAAGGGTCTAGAAACTTGTCTTATGAGGAATGGCCAAAGGAGCTGGGTTTGTTTAGTCTAGAGAAGAGGTTGCCCAGGGGATACCTCATTGCTTTCTGCCTGAAAGGAGATTGTAGTGAGGTGGGAACTGGTCTCTTCTCCTATGCCTGTACTGAAGGACACAGGGAAATGGCCTTAAGCTGAGACAGGAGAGATCCAGGTAGATATTGGAAAAAAAAATTACTGGTAGGGTGGTCAGGTATTGGAATAGGTTGCCCAGCAAAGTGGTGGAATCAAGAGGCATCTGAGTCTGGCTCGGGGTGACATGGTTTAGCAGTTTAGTGGTTACAGTGCTGCTGGATGATCTGGATGAGGGGATTGAGTTTACCCTTTGTAAATGCACAGAACACAAAGTTGGGTGCGAGTACTGAGTGCTGGGTCCTCTACTTTGGCCACAACAAGCCCATGCAGTGTTACAGGCTAGGGGAAAGGTGGATGGAAAGAGGCCCATTGGAGGGGGACCTGTTGGTGCTGGTTGACAGCAGCAGAACATGAGCCAGTGTGTGCCCAGGTGGCCAAGAAGGCCGATGGCACCCTGGCCTCCATCACTAATAGCATGTTCAGCCGGACCAGGGCAGTGATTGCACCTCTGTACTTGGCACTGGTGAGGCTGCACCTTGAGTTCAGTGACCAGTTCTGGGCTTCTCTGCTCAGGAAGGACATTGAGGTGCTGGAGTGTGTCCAGAGAAGGGTGATGGAGCTGGTGAAGGGTCTGGAGTGTGAGTCCTGTGAGGAGCAGCTGAGGGAGCTGGCAGTGTTCAGCCTGGAGAAAAGGAGTCTCAGAGGTTCCCCACTATCCTCTCTGCGGCTGCCTGAAGGGAGCGCATTGCCAGGTGGGGATCAGCCTGTTCTTCCAGGTAGCCAGTGACAGGATGCGAGGAAATGGCCTCAATCTGCGCCAGGGAAAGTTTAGATTGGACATAAGAAGAATTTTCTTCACCGGAAGGGTGCTTGGACATTGCATTGGGCTGCCTAGGGAAGTGTTGGAGTCGCTGTCTCAGGAGGTGTTTAAGAAAAGACTGGACGTGGAACCCAATGCCATGACGTAATTGCCATGGTTCAGTGACAGCTTGGCCCGATGATCCCAGAGGCGTTTTCCAGGCTATCCAGCCCCCGGGCTCCCGCCCGTCCCCGCCGAGCCGGGGCAGGCCGAGCCCGAGCGGCCGCGCCCCGCCCGCCCCGCCCGCAGCGCCGGTCGGAGCCCTCCAGGGGGCGCTGCGGCGGCGGCCGCACTCGGCGGTGCCGCGCTGGCCGAGGGGCGGTGCGGGCCCAGCATGGAGGGCAGGATGAGCCTGCCGCGGGGCCCCGAGAACCTCTGCTTCGACAAGGACGAGTTCATGAAGGTGCACGGGGATCGGGGATCGGGGCTCGTGGAGGGGCGAGGGGCCTCCTGAGGAAGGGGGTGGCGGGTTCCCTGCGGGAGAGCGCGGCCCGGAGCCGTGGTGGGGATTTTACAGCTCCGCCAGGGCCCTTCCCCGGCCGGGGCTGCGGGGAGCGCCGGGGGTGTCACTGACAGGGGAGCCGGGATCCGGCCGTGTCCGGGTAGGGCCGGGCTCCGAGACCGACGGGAGCGAAAGGCCTCGCTGCTTGCAGAGAGTAGAGCAGTTCTCAGTACTCAATTTCCACTCTCGGCTGTTGTTTCGTGGTTTGTTTGGGTTTTTTTTTTTTAATTCTCCTGTATTTCGGGGAGCTCGTCATAGGCTATTCAGCCCCACTTTTCAGCCTAAAAACCGAGAGTTTAGCTAGTGCGTTAAGAAGCTTTTTTCCCCTAGGGCTTTAGTTTGGTCAACTCACAGGCATATGGAGTACTTTATTTTGGGTGTGTTCCTGGTGTGAACTGTTTACTTACATCCTTCTCTGTTTCCTGTTTCAGGCGGATTTTGATGTTGATCACTTTGTGTCAGACTGCAGGAAACGTGTGCAGTTGGAAGAGCTCCGAGAGGATCTGGAGCTTTATTACAAACTCCTTAAAACTGCTATGGTAGAACTCATAAATAAGGACTATGCAGATTTTGTTAATCTCTCAACAAATCTTGTAAGTGTTACTGGTTGTACCTTGTAGTTCAGGCTTAGTGTGGTTCAGTGGGATTTTTATTTTTTATATGAAAAGTATATGGCTTTTATTTTGTCATTTTATGATTTAAGGCATCTTAAACTGATGTCTCTAATCCTTGCACTGAGACACCATTCCTGTAGAGCTTACAGAATTGCTGTACAGAATTGGTGTTGGCCTGTAGTAAGTGTTTTAGATGTATGCATTTTGTCTTTTAAAGCTGATTTGTTAGGGAGTTAAAACTCAGGGAAAACTTTGTTTAAAACACTCAGCACTTTTAAAATTGAAGGAAATAAATTATTAAAAAAGAATAGCAATGATAAAAGTAAGTCTGTTTGGAAGGATTCTTTTAGGAATCTTTAAACTTTTTGTATATCAAAGTATCTTAAAAATCCCCGACTTTGTGTCTGAAAATTGTAATTGTTCCAATTATACAGAATCAAAAACTGAGACTTAACATATTTCTGAGAGGAAAAATTTCCATAGGAGGAAATTTTGTTTATCTTTTGGGTTTGTGTGAAAGCAGTCTTACATCTTTATGCTTGTATTTGAGATAACATACTTTTGCATTGAATTAAAAACTGAAAATTATAAAGGAAGTTATGTTTTCTCACTTCTCTTTCAGTATCTGTAAAATGATAGGCTTTGTCAGTAATTCACATATGAACTTACCAAAAAAGTAATAAATGTGTTTGTGGTAATTTCTTTAGGTTGGCATGGACAAGGCTCTCAATCAGCTTTCAGTACCCTTGGGACAGTTAAGGGAAGAAGTTATGGTATGTTCAAAACAGCCATTGTCAACAGCTTGGTAAACTTCAGCTCGCTCTCCTGTGATGTACAGAATGCCTTCTATTCAAGTTAATATTTGTTATAAGCTTTTCTTTGAAGACTGATGACTTAGGTTGCTAGTAGGAGAAGCATGGTGTTTTCAGGCACTTGTGTTGTAGTAAATTTAGGTTTCCTACAGTGCATTTCAACCAAGAGATAAAGAGTTTCTAAAACTTGACAAGTTAATAGACTCTTGCAAGACAAGTCTATGGATATATCTTGAAGCTGTTTTAATATTTGAGTAACTTAAAGATGGTAGAAAATGCAGATGCAGCACAGTCCCTTTATGGACTTACTTTCCTTAGTGTGTGGTTTAACCATAAAACAGCACCCTTTTGAAGGTGGAGCTTATTCTGGTTCCTCCACAGTGACTTGGTATTTATAGGAAGGGCCAATTTTTGATCATCTTGGCAGCCAGTTCAAAGGGATGCTTGCTGCATAAATGTGCCTTCAAAATATCACACCCTTCGTGTCTAACAGAAAACAGGGTCAGCTATCATAGAGAAATCCTTATGGCGTGAAAAATATTATTTAAAACTGATTTATAACTTCAGTTGCAAGACATAAAAACATAGTGGGTTGACTGCCTGCTTTTAGGCAAAGGTAATTTCTTCTCTAAGGTAATAAAAGAATGGTTATGGTGGAAATAATTATATTTGATTTGCAGTGGCAATACCTAAGGAGCAGGTTCTACTTTCAGTTATTTAGTTATATTTATGGCTTTTTCACTTGATATCGTGTAGCTTTTATTAGTCCCATGATTTTATTAATCTGTGTCTTGAGTTTAGATTTATTTTTTTTAGGTTTTTTTCAACCCTTAAATGGGAGGCAAGCTTCACATACTGACTTTTTCTCTCACAGAGTCTTAAGTCATGTGTCAGTGAAGGAATTCAAGCAGTAGATGACCGAATGACTAAACAAGAAGACATTAGAAGAAAAAAGGTACAGCAGATAGTACTATCTTCAAAAGATCATCCTTAGGATAACTTTGATTTTGCCATTAACCCAGAGAAAATGAAATTAAGAAAGTTCTATGCTGTCTAGATGCATACTGTGCAGTATTTTGTACTTGTAAAATGTATTGACATTTTGGTTGACAGACTTCATATTTTACAGTGTCTAGTTGATCATAAATCTTTGCTTTACTGTAGTTGCCCAAAACATATGTTTGATTTAGTTGGGTTTTTTTTGTTGCTCTTGTTTCTAACTGCAGTAGCATATAAACTTACTTATTATGAATAGAATTGAAGTACAGCTGTTTAATTTTTATGGGCAGGAGACACACTAACACTTGTCTTTGTGCTTTGAAAAACATCAGGGATAGGAACAACTGTCCCACATGTGTGACAAACATTTATTTATGGTGTTTTATGGATATATGTGAGCAATACTTCAACTGAGACATGACTCAAGTGTTAAGATAAAGGGAGAAAACTTAAACCAGGAAAAAACCAAAGAACTAAGAAACCATCTAAAATATTTTCTTTAGGTGATGTCAATTGGGATTGGGCTTAGACATGAAAAATCTTTCTTTAATTACAGATGTGTGTCCTGAGACTTATTCATGTTATTCAGTCTGTGGAGAAAATTGAGAAGATTCTACATTCCCAAGGCACTAAAGAATTGTCCTCATTAGAGGGAAACAGGTAAAAAAAATTGTAATGTTCGGTTTTGTTTGTAGTTGATGGGGCTAACTTGATTTCATGGTGTTGTTGAAGGTGAATTTACAAGCAGTATGGTGTATCTTTAGAAATGTAACTCTGATGGACTAAATTATTGTAATTTTAGTATTTTCTTTGTTTTAGTCTTCCACAAGCCAGTCATTCACAGAACGTGTAACTCAGACTCCAAAGTTCCAAATTACTCATGGTGCTTTCAGTAAGCAAGCTTTGTGAAGCTTACTTTATTTTCTTAGAAGTCACTAATCCTCTCATGTCTGAAATACTCTCTATAGTTTATTCCAATTTCATTTGTAAGTGAAACAAAATAGTTTTTCTTGTTTTCCCTGCTTATGTGTAAGTGAAAGGACTGCTGCAAGAATAGCGAAATGCAGACAAGGCAAACCTAGTACAAGGAAGGTTTGTGACAAATTCCAGTCAAACCTCTTCCTCTGCCTTTGCTGAGGATTGCAGGGTGTTGTTTAGCCAGTTTTGGAACTGGTGTACCAGTCATGCACTTGAAAGGCTTGACTGGGGTGCAAGTACAATTTAAGCTGGAGGGAAGACACAGTGTGAGACTGTCTCTTCAGCTCAGTGTGCTGGATCACATGATTGATAGTGGGGGTAGGTGTACCAGAAAGTAGGTTAATACGTAGAGGGACAAAAGCAGATGTTTTCTGTCAGGGGAGGCACTTTGCAGAATTAAGTTTGCAGTTAAGATCATTCTTGAACAACTGAAAATTCAGCTCAGTATTGGGATCGTGTGGGCTTGAGAAGAGCAGGACTGTTTCTCTAGAGATAACTATCATTAGTTGTACTATATGATAGAGTAAGAAAGAAACAAATCTGGATGGTGAAGGTCACCTGGTGCAGTTGCTGAGCTCTCTTAAACTGACTTTTCATGTGATAATAGAGCTTATGTTCCTCTCAGCTTCTGCTTCACCCACTTCATGTTAGAGCTGCAAAACAGCACTAATGTGGCATGCTCCAGATCATTATTGCTTGATTGCAGTCATTATAGTAGTACCTATCAGAATTCAAAATACTGAAATTGCAAAAAATTGAGGGAGAGCTCTGTCTATCTGTTACAGATGAGAGGGAGTTGGTTTGAAAGGATCTAACTGTGTATTCTCATTTTGTATCTTCTCTCTTCTAGTCCACTTGTAACTGGTCAAGTTTTAGAGAGAATTGCCACAGAATTTAATCAACTACAATTTCATGCAGTACAAAGCAAAGGAATGCCCCTTTTAGACAAAGTGAGACCAGTAAGTATTGCATGACACTTAACACTTGCACAGTCAAGCAAAACCAGTATAATTGGAAGACAAATGCCTGTTTCCACAGAGTTTTATTGAATTAATTTATGGAGAAAAATGGGTTTCATGAGGTCATTTTTATCAGTTGACTAGAACTATTGCTTTTTCTCAGGATTTATGCCCTGTTTGCTTACTTCTTTAGGATAAATTACTGAGAATAAGAATAGGAAATGTGACAGATGTTTTTGTCAACCTAATGTATCTTGCAGTTCATCTGCTTACTTATACTAAGGTCTTGTTCTAGAGATTTATGTTGGCTTTGTTACCTGCTGTGTACAGACCAGAATATAAATGGAATGTGCCTACATAGTGGCTGGCTTGAATATGTTCAAGTTTGTCTTCTCATGAAATTATGCTGGCCATTACTAATCTCCCAGTATACTCTTTTACCTACTGTAAATGATTAATTGATGTTTTGCTGGGACTTTTTTCCTCTATTCATTCAGTGGGGAGAGGGAATAAATGAAAACTTGTGCTAAAAGGAAGGTGTGAATATAGAGATGGGGTAATGCTTTAAGCTGATTCTCATGAGGGTGTCATTCTTAATGGCTTTCAAGCTGTTGAGGTAGTTCGGAGTTCCTGTTTGTGCCTCTGCCTGTTGGCAATACAAACTTGTTTCGGCTCCAGATATCCATGGGATCATTTTGTTACATGGACAGTTTACAAGACTCCTCTGGCCACTGAGTTGGATATCAGACTTGGATACTAGCAGCAGTGAGCATGAGCAGCAGAGTACTGTATGGGGTGGGAGAGCATTTGTCACGTGGCTTCCTTAATGGTGTTTGCCAGGACTTGTGTCCTGTACCTGTTGTTGCTAAGGTTTGTCAGAATGTAGCTTTCATGACTAGTCAGCAGTTGGGTTCCTGACTTTGCATGTTCAGTAAAAACTGTATGAATCATTTTAGGATGGATGGACACAATACAGCATGTAAAAAGAGAGAGAAGAAATTTTACTGGCTATATTCATAGTTCAACTCCGACTGCCTTAATGTGTGTTGCTGATCTTCCTTCAAATGCAGAGTTACAGGGCCAGGAGTATATCTGCAGGTAGTGTAGCAATGGACTCATTGCTACACTAGTCAGGTCTAGTAGAAAAGATGTCATGGGAGATCAGGAAAAATGGTTTGCAAAAAGGAGAATATGTGTAGACTGAAGAAGCTGTTTGGCAGAAGCCAGAAGAAATCTAATTTCTTTGGTGTTTGCTAGTGTCACTCAGTGTCATTGGTTTGTGGTAATTTGATAAGTAGTGCTGGGTACACACTGTCTATTTGGTCTCTGACAGTGAGGGATAAATGCTACAATTGTTATCCCTGGTCACTTATTGTAAATCTTTTGTTTATTGTCACATACTGGTTCAGTTGAACAAGGAACAATTAGTAACTTATTTCCTCAGGATAAAGCAGATCTGATATAAATTACCATGGAACTTACAACATATAGAGCATAATAATTGCCTTTAGCTTTTATTATAATAAATCCTGTCTTATGGAGCATCAGTAGCCAATTAATTTTGTGTTAATGGTCATTGAACACTGGCAGTTATCAAATTTTTGTACTTTTCAAGTAAGGCTGGAAAGCTGAGTTAGGCACATCTGGATGAATTTACTTCAACAATGATGACTGGCTTTGATTTTGGCTCTTTCTGACTGTATTTTCTTTCTCTGTAGCGTATTGCTGGAATAACAGCCATGTTGCAGCAGTCTCTGGAAGGGCTGCTCTTGGAAGGCCTTCAAACGTCAAATGTTGACATAATACGCCACTGTCTGCGCACTTATGCAACAATTGACAAAACACGAGATGCAGAGGCATTAGTTGGCCAAGTGCTTGTAAAACCTTATGTAGATGAGGTAAGATAACATAAAAAAAATTCCATTTGTTTTCCAAACATGCTTAGTTTTCCTGTGAACCTCCAGCTTTTGTTAGCAGCTTCAAAATATCTTTGTGGAGAGAACAGGAGAACTGAGCTGCAGCAAAATGTCAATTTGGTTGTTGTTGCTATTTAAGAAGAAAAGGATGGAGGAATTCTCTTACTTGCCTGTCACCAATTTCAAGTTATATCCAGTGTGGATTCTTTTTTCTTACCTCTGTTTTTCTTGGGCTAAAGAATCAAAAAACCAAACCTCTCCCATTTAGGACAGGTTTCCATTGGCTGTTTGCTACGTGCTGTAATAGCTGCTACAGCATGGGACATGTCACCTTCCCCTCAGTTTTCTGAGGCTCTGTTCTTTCACCACTTCCACTTGTTTATGTAGCAAGAGGCAAACGTGTTCAGACATTGGAAGAATACCAAGCAACAAGCTGTTGTTCTTTTCCTACTGTCTTCTCTTTGTGGCAGAGATTATCCCTTTTCACTGAGTATGAGGCACTGTCCAGACAAGCTGATCTGCTAGCTGTGTTAAAGGCTTAGCAGTGTCACAGAAGATGCTTTGCTTTGGCTTGCCTGTATTTGGGATTGGACCAACCACCTCAACATTTAGAAGGAGTTTTTACTTTATTCTGGGTTTGATTAGCTTTTATCAGTTCCCTCTTTAACTTGACAGACTGCTTCAGGTGATAGTGATGTGGCCGTGAGTTGGCAGCCAGACATAGTGGCTCACATTTAAAAGAAAGGATCTCCTTCCCGTTTTTGGGCCAGTCTTGGCAGTCAAGTGTGCTGCTTTAAAGGAAGTAATAAATCAGGCTGGCAGTTATACTTGGAAAATATAATGAAGAAAAAAGTAATATACTGACTATCCCACTATTTGAGGTTATAGTGTTAAGAGTTTTGTGAGTCTTGCATTACAGCATATTTTATATTCACTTTTCTGGCGTTTAACATTGAGCTGTTCCTGGCAGGTGATGGTGGAGCAGTATGTGCAATCCCACCCTAATGGCCTCCAGGCTATGTACAATAGGCTGTTGGAGTTTGTTCCTCATCATTGCCGCCTCCTGCGGGAAGTGACAGGGGGAGCAATTTCCAGGTGAGTATCCTGGGCTTCTCAGCTGCACTGAAGTCACAACAAGTATCATATGCTTTGAAATCCTTTGCTTTCATGCACTAATGATTTATCTGGCCTTTCCTGAAAATTCTAGTCAAGTTTGATTTGTATCTCACGCCTCTGTTTCTCAAAACAAAACAGTGAGCAGACTTTCCTGGTGCTGCAGCCCAGACCTTCAGAGGAAGCAAAGACAATCCTGTATTTCAGTAGTAGAAGTGAGTCCTGTGCATAATACAATGTGTCAGATAACTTGGTTTTTTGAACCCATTAAATATGATTGTACCCTTCATCCAAGGAGCATGATAAAGCTATTAAAATATAAGTTCAGAAGTTATTGAGCTACTGCAGATCAGAAAAGTGGGAATGGTCCTCAGAGGTTTGACTGATTTATTGCATGTACCATAACTACAGGTTTAATTTATTTGTGCTTCCACTGTGTTCTCAAAAAGTGCTTAATTCCTTATGCAATTAAATTACCTGTTTTTCAGGCTTAAATAATTCAGGTCTACTGAATTGAATCCATTTATTCATCTCTTTTCAGGATGGTTAATATAGCAGACTGCTGGAATTAGCAAAACTATGGACGTAGCCCCTAGGGACTGCAGAATTACTTTTCTAATTAGTCATCCATTGCTGAGCTTTTTTTGACTCCTAAGTTTAACTAACATTTTAATTCTTTCAATCCCTCAGCAAGTTTTAATCGTTCTTCTTAATAATGGAATGTTTCTACTTTGTGGTGTGGTGTACTAAATTGGAATAGAACGCTATTATCTCTTCTGCTCTCAATTTTTAAGTTTTCAAAATCAAGGTAGCTTTTGATCTTTTGATCAAACACAATATGAATAATTACAGTTTGGAACAATTAGGAAGAAGTTCTCTTTTTCATTGCATTAGTCACATTATTCTTACTTGGTAGGTCTTGGAAGTTTGGAGCTGTTAAAACTTGAATTATACCTAGGATTTCTCAGCTGAAATGTACTAATTTTCCAGTACACACGCGCAAAATATGTAACTGATAAATTTTTAAAACACTTTGAGAGTTACAAAAAAGCACCTTTGATTTGATAAGAGTGTGGAATCGGATTAGGAATCTTCAAAGGAAGAACAGTTTAGGGAATCACTATAAATATGTAAAAAAATTTCATTGCATTTTGTCTAGTGCAGTGCATCTATTTTTTAGTGATTCCTGCCTCCAAATAGAAGCTTAGTGGTAAAATATAACCATGGAATAATTGCAATTTTTTTCAGTGAAAAAGCAGATATTGTTCCTGGATATGATTTCTTGGTGAACTCAGTGTGGCCAGAAATAGTACGTGGTTTGGAAGAGAAATTACCATCACTTTTTAACCCTGGAAACCCAGATGTGTTTCATGAGGTAATTAATTTCCATTTTTTCCATTTCTAATTTCTGTGACAGACACAAGAATTGAAAGAGTCATGTTCTCTAGCTTCTTCCCCCCCCTGCTGCTTTTGTGTAAAGTCATGTTGTTGCATGGTTTGCAAGAGGAGGTTATCTCAAACCACTTGGTTCAATTTTCATAGGAATTAATTCTCCCCTCAAGTTTGTTAGGAGAGCTCATACAGAAGTTATTGGATACCATTCAGCAGATGAATTTGTTTTTATTTTGGGAGTAGAATTGCAATGTTATTGAAGGTGGGAGTGGATGACTCCAGTGTTCACTCAAGTCTAGAACTGCTGTAGAGCAGGAGCTGATAATTAATATTAATTAAATATCTGGGTTGCAACTTATTTATTACTATGGGAAGATTAAAAAAATTCTTTGTTTTGCTTGCTTGTTTTAGCTTTTGCTCTCTTGCAGTACTGCATATTATGTTGTGATTATAAACACAAGTCCACTAAAACCTGAAAATATTTGGCAGCACCATCAGGTTTAGAAAACAGAGATAGTATTTCTCTGATATCACAAGCTTACATTAAATAATGAATTTAAAGTACTTGTCACTCTTGTATTTTCTTCATTGATAGTGCTGCTCTGTCTCTAAGACATCATCTTTTACTAATGGTGAAATAGATTTCTTGGTCTAGGATGAAGATCTTCTCTGGCAGCACTTTACTTGTGACTTGTGTGTCGCAAGTAGAAAATAGGAACTCTCTGCTTTTCCTCATGTCCTGCCCGCTTTGTGTTTAACCATGATTACTGAAAAATTTGGAGTTTTTCCCCCTGGTAGTAGTTTGACTTGTGTTTAGTGTCAAACATTTTATTCTCAAGATAAAGATGGGAGGCAGTGATAAATAGTCTGAAGGAAGGCACTGTTGGCATATCAGGACAGATGACTTGAGGAAATGCTGGCTTGCAAGTGGAGGTTTATAAGGCATGTGATTCTTCATGTCTTCCTGAAAAACTGCTTTTACTAAACACTTAGATATTTTTTCTTGGAGTTTAAGATCTCTTTTGTACAGATAGATTGAACAAGTGAAGGCAGATAGGCATGACTGAGAGTGTTTGCAGTGCTATCTCTGAATAAGAAGCAAATGACATGGATGTTGAAGAAAGCTGCGGTAGTGCCACGCAAGTGACACTATAATGTGTTCCTCCTCCTGCATGACAGTTCTTAGTTTGCCATGAAGTTTTAGTCACTCTTCAAGCTTTCACCTTATGCCTGCATACTGCAGGTTGTGAGCCTTGTTGGGCCTTTGCTGTGCTGTGCTCCATGATGTACAGGAGTGTATTGTGTCTTCAGAAAAGCTGGGTTTGCTTAAAAGGCCTGTCTTATGTTACACTGATACTGGCCAACAAAGGTGTTTGGTTTATTTAAAAAACACCAAACAATCAAAAAAAAAAACCCCCAGTAAAAACCCAGCACCCACCCATGACTTCCAGGTAAATCACATAGTAAGTCTAAAGTACTTTCCATACTGCTTTTGACTACTTAAGGGACTCATAGTCATTAAAATCATTAAAATATTTTACTTTAAAATCAATACAAAGTTGAAATGCCAAGTGTAAAAATGCTGTTACACCTATCTAAAGACTAATAGTTCTGAATTGAGAGGGAGGGAAAAAGCCTTTAAAATTGTTTTGCTCTGATGATGAGCCAAGTAATGCTACACAAATTTTAGACAATAATCTTTTGTCTCCATTTTCTAGGTTGATAAAAATGCAGAACAAGTTTTTTTCTCCATGTGTATTTTCATATATACCTATGTATAGGTTTAATGCTGAACATTTTGAATATGCTGTGTTTTCTGTTCAGGGGTTTTTAGGTGTAGAGGAGAGAGGGGGATTGAAAGATTTGTTTTAAATCCTTTAAAAATCAGACTGGCAATGTTAAGTATGTTAAAATAAGCATTTGTGTGACATGGCTTTTTAAAATAGTTTCAGGTTGTTGTGCCTTTCTTTGAGTTAGATGTGTTGTTTTATGGGTATTTAAAAGAATACTTCTTTTATCCCTAAACATTCATTTAAGATTAAGTTTAGATTTCTCTGTTTGAGAATTGCTCCCTTTTGGTTCCCAATTTTACTTTTCTTAAATAACTCTGCAGTCAACAATCCAGTCCTAGAAGCTGAAATAGGAACCAATCTCGCAGTTAGTTCCCTCTCCTGGATATAATATTTTCAATATTGAGATAAATGTCTCTTGAGGTGCCTTCCATTTTGAAATTGATTGGTCTCTACAGAGTGTTTGGTTTATATCTCTGACTTACACTTAGGGTAGCAGAGCATTAACAGCTTGTTTGCCATTTTAGAGTGCTGGGTTTATTATCTAAGAAGGGAGGCCTGAAAGAGAACTCATCTGTCATTCAGTCTGGGTCTAACTCCTATACCTTTTATGGGTTCATTGTGTTATAGATACAACCAGATTAGGAGAAAAGTAGTCACTTAAAAGCTTTTGGATACATTTTTCAGGATATTATCTTGACACTGAAACTGCAACGTCACAAGAAAGGTATTCTGTAGTTATACCTTTAATAGAAAGTTATGAACTTACTGAGATACCCAATACTGAGGCATCCCTGTGGCAGTTCATGTCCTTTGTTCACAGGAGAGTTTTTGAGAGCAGGTCCTCTAAGCAGCAACACAGGAGCTTCTCCTGATAACGTTTTACTGCTTCACAAGAGGCAAAATGACCTGCCTCCTGTAGTGAGTGCTCTGGATTGTGGATTGAACCCTAACCCTGCAGTGCAGTCAGAAGCACTGAGAGATTGTCAGGCTTATTTCATTAATTCACTAATGGATTTATGAGAATATATGATAAGTTTTATGGCTGTTTCCTAATTTTTTTTTAATAGAAAAAACTTGCACAGAAACCAAAGTAGCTTTCAGTTCATAGAATTTTAACTGCAGTTGTGTTTTGATTATAAGTTTATTTACCTAAGTTTCATGGTCTGTTAGCAAGGTCTGTTTTGTATGAAATAACATTTTTTGTACTGTTTTACTTCTGGCTTTCATCAAGTATTTGACTTTCTGCTTTGTGCATGATTTAATTTATTATTTCATTATTTTCAGTGTTCTCATACTATTGAGACCATATCCACAGAATGTTTGGGGATTAATGTAATTTTTTTTGCTTGCAACCAACTTAATACTATTCATAAACATCTTATTAGAAGTATACACTGGATGAAGTTAGTTTATCTGAAATTTTTTTAAGTTCTTCTGCATTTTTTGATATTTACGAAACATTTTTAGGGAAACAGCTCTAAAAATTCTTATAGTACAGGTCCTGTGTAACAGACAAAACTATTGTGCTTCCATTCTCATGTGCAGTTGGCTATGTGTACTTCTGAATTTCATTCCTGATTGTTTCTCCTTGTGGTGTAATTTTATCTGCTGCACCTGACTCTGTTAGTAGTGTGCAGCACCATCCCAGTGATTGAGCTTAGAAATAGTTATGAATCTCTGATCAGTTCTGCTTGATCAGCATGCTTGGACTGTTTTATTGTTTTTAGAAGTGTCCTTACCACAAAGTAACACTTTAAAGTTAATTTGGTTTTGGTATCTGCAGTCCGAGCTTTTAGCCTTGTATGATTGGGTGATGAGGGGCAGTGTCAGCCCATCCTGACCCTTGAGCTTAGTTGTAGCATCATACAGGTGTTCTGCTGAATGGGTGGTGGCCTTCCTTGTTTGCTGGGAGCCTGTGTGTGAGCAGAGTGCTCCTTCTCTTCCTGCAGAGATACACCACCAGTATGGATTTCGTACGGAAATTCGAACGGCAGTGCGGCTCCCAGGCCAGCGTGAAGCGCTTGAGAGCTCATCCCTCTTACCACAGCTTTAACAACAAATGGAATCTGCCTGTCTATTTTCAAATAAGGTTGGCATGCATTTTTTTGTTCACTCTTAAGGTCACACCTCCCCATTGTTCAAAGTCTCACTTGTCAACAAATCATATGCAAATCAAATTAAGAATTTAATTATGTCAAGTAGCATTTATATATCTTTCAACAATTCAGCAAAAAATCACATAACTACTCTTCAGTATGTACTGTGTTGTTACACCAGATTTGAAAAGCTACTCATAAGACTTTCAGGAACAGATCTAAATAAGTCTTGAATTCTTGTTTCAAATTATTTTTCTCCAGTGTCCCTGAAACTATGCTGTATGTTGAATGCTACTTATGCAAATCCAGAGGAATACTTACTGTGAATAAAGAAATATTTTTTCTTAGATGTATAGAACTAAAGGACTTGAGAACATTCAGCTTTTCCAGACCTAGCTATGTTTCTGACCTTCTTTATATCTCACAGGATGTACTCCTTAAATTGTATCATTGCTTTCCCAAAGATTGTCCTCCTAGTCCCTGTTCCTGAGGAGCTGAGTAGTAACTTCTGGAATATTTTAGTAGCAGGTCTGATGTATCTATAATGTTTTCTTTTACAGACCTTGCAGCTAGAAAAGAACAGAGTGAGCCAAGAAAGCCCTTTTTTAATTCTAGTAATGTTAGAATTTTAATGAACAAAATAGAATATAAAACTGTAGTTTTAGAAAGGGTAGTCTGCATGTCTGATTGTAGGTCTGGAGAGCAACCCTTCAGGCGAGGAACAGAACCATTGATGAAGTCTGCTATGACCCAGCTGTGCCATGTGTAATTTGTCTTGGTCCAAAGCCTTCTGAGAGCCTCTTAAACCCAAACAAACAAAAAGTGGAATTTCCAAAAGAGGGGGAAGAGAAATTGATGTTTATTTTTAACCTTTATGACACTTTAGTGACCTTTTTTATTTCACAATTCTCTAATTGGCAATAACACTACCACAGTCACATTTATACAGTTTCTTTAATCCAGGGGAAATCTACACTTGTGCTGAAAAATTTCATCTAGGAATCTTATGAGTGATAGAATTAATATAAGTGACATGAACATGGAGCTGGGAGCTGAGTCTTAATATTTTGATGGTTCGTGGTGTTTTGTAAAACTGTAGTCACAACATCTGATACCCTGATTTCTTCTTTTGCTTGCACATCTGTTCCTGCAGTTGTGTAGTGAACTGATAAGGACCTGTTACTCAGAAAAAAAATGACTGATTTTCAACTCCAGTCAATTTCCCCAAACCACTTAACTGTACAAATATTCATGCTGGCCCAAGGGAAGGGGCAGGAGTATTCACTACATAGTGGTGCACAGACTGAAAGTGTCTGTGGAACTGCAGCCATTATGAACCTTTTAACAGTTATGTATCATTAATTGCCCTTTTGTTTCAAGTCCAACTTTTCTAGTAGGAGACCAATTGATCAAACTTTGATAATCTTGCTCATAAAATTGAAATGGAGCTTCAGCATATTTCTCTTCAAAAATGTTTGCCATTAGGTATTCTGAGCTCTGATCGATTAAAACACTTTTAAATATAATTTTCCTTTAATCCAAGATTACTGTAAGACTAAATAGTGTACTATTTTGAGAAATGTTTGGCTAACAGCAGCTGATTCATCTTAAATGATAGTGTGCCTTTATATTGGAATCTAACTTTGGAAGTACCCGTGAACTCTTCAGTGCATAATTGTGAAAATAATACAATATATTAATTATATATATCAGGAAAGCTTTCTCTTGATGTGTGTTAATACCCTTTAAGTCATACAAGATTTTGATTGAACTGTTATCTCACACTTCAGCATTTATAGTTAAGATTGTTTGGTGTTTTCTTTTTTCAATTACAGAAATTCCCCAGAAAAATCAGCCATTACTAAAGCCTTTAGAAATGATCCTTTGAGGAGCATATGGATGTTCAGGCATTTCTTCTGTAGCAGTGCTGGCAAAACAGCACCAGTAACTCTTTCCCTGTTTCATTCTTTCAGTTGTGTCAATACAGCTGATTGTGCCCTACAGTGGGGAAATGATTTCCTATGTAAGACATACTCAGCAAAAATTACATTGTCATTAAAAACCTTATTCTGTTCTCTAATCCTTTTCACCAAAAGACTTAAAGACACTGCTCTGTTGATGGAAGCAGGGCATAGGCAGAACTGAGGTTTTGAAGCCATTTCACAAACATGTTTAGTTGCTAAACATTCATCCTACTCCATTAGGAGTTTGAGCAAAAAAAACTAGGTGGGCTCCTGTCCTGATCTGGAAATGATAGTTAAGAGAATTTTAAGAGAAACCCTACAGGATTGTAATTACTAAGTTTGATAGAAAGACTTACAGAGTTACTATGATGCACATAAAAGTGAAAAAGAGGAAATCACTGACAACAGAACTTTCTACAGGGAAGCTTAAAATGATGCAAGTATGGAAAAGTATCAGAGGTTTTAATAACTTCTGCGGTTGTACCTAAAAAAATTTTGGAGATGTCATTTTGGTTTGGGTTTTTTTTTTTTTCTTTGAATGGTGATCTTTTTTAAAAAGGGTATTTTAAAAGAGGAATTAAACAAAAAAAAAAGCCAAACATAAACAGGTGTCCTTGAGGAACTATTGATTTTTATTAGGGACAGAATTGTTTGCAGAACCTTATGTTACTGCTCATTTACAAACATGTAGAAATCTGGAGCTCCAGTATCATGTGACATACCTGAAGGTTAAAGAAGGTCAGTTTGATTGCTTATAGTTTAAAAAACTAAAAACAAAAAACTTCCCTCATCAAAAAGCTGAGGACTTGTCACTCTGTGAGCTATCATTTTGATGATAGTTGTGGTTTGCAACCACCTTAATAATATCCTAAAGTATAAGCTTTGTATGTGCCTGTAAAATGTCAAATGTTCTCTTTCAAGTGTTTGAATGCTGGTAATAAGTTGGGCAAAAATTACCCCGGGTTTAAAATCTGTGTATGTCCATTGATGACACATAGAAATAATACTGAAGTAAACATTGAAAAATGTTTAGACATCAATTTAAGCAATGAATTGTGATATTCAAAATTTTTCCTTCTCACAGATTCAGAGAAATAGCAGGGGCCTTAGAAGAAGCACTTTCAGATACACTAGAGGAAGCACCAGGTAAACTTTTTGTGCAAAAAATACGTATTGTAAAGGAATCAGTTGAATAAATAGCAGTGATCAGTCTGTCTCTTGAGTATTCAGTAACATGCATCCCGTGGTTCACATGAGCTTCCTTATTTCTCATGGACTGTTCAAACAGTATAAAACATTGTTGCAGAGATGGGAATGTGAGAATTCTGGTCAGTGATGACTTTGCTTACTAAAAACCCCTCTTTAGCCGCTGTCATTGACATACTTATGGAAGCACCCCTCAGTGCAAGAAGGAGTTGTTAGCATTTGACATCTTCTAAATGACAACCAAAAGGCTGTGCTGTGTTATTGGGGCATATTTTTCTTAATGTTGTAGCAATGTATAGCACTGTGTAAAAATGGCTGTCTGTTGGCAGCATTTAGGCTTGCTGTCATTCATAAGTGTTGGTGTCTGCTTCAAAAATACACATTGATTTATGAGGAGGTATACACAAGAGGAATAACCTGATGCATGCATTAGAAGCATATTGTAATCAGAAGAACTAATTTCAGCTAACAGAATGAATACTTATGAAGAAGGTATCTATGGGCCACCTAAATGCCTGTATGTGTGTATCCACACATGCCCTCTGAAGCAAACCAGGAGAAAAAAATCCTAATTGAGACAGAATATGTATAAATCTTACCACTTCAGTGTGTAGGCCTGGAACTTGCAGACACATTCCTTGTCCTTCTAGTTGTATTCTCTAAAATGTTAAAATTACGTAAAATGCTTTAAATTTAAAACTGTTTAAACTGCTTAAAAATATTTTATTTAAATATGGACATTTGTACAGTATTTAAAATAAATATTTATAGCAAATATCTCATGTAACTGGGAGAGGAGCAATAGTTTAGTGGAAAGGGAGTATTATGTTATGGCTGGCAGGAATATCTAATGTAACTTCTTCAAAAGACTGCCAGAAATTATTTTGGAAATGTTATTTCCTGAAGTGGATTATTTGGCCAAGCTGTTTCTGCCTTTATTGCAGGCAGATTCCTGTTTCTTGCTTTTGCCTGCACAGCTACAGCAATACTTTGGTGGAATTTGAAATCTAAAGCATTGAGGAGATAGTTTTTTACGAGTTTATTACAGGCAGTGCTTAATACATTTCTATCTGATGATTGAATCTTTTAGGAAAGGTCTTGGGTAATGCAATTACACTGATGTTGCATCTTTTAAAAACATTCTTGGGAACTTGACCTTTGTTGCCTGATCGTTTCTAGCTGGGAGCTCCTTCTGTCTCTTGGCCACCCACATGGTGTGGGCGAGTCTTGTGAGGTGCTGGTCGGATCAGATGTTTGTGCCGCTGTTAGCGCACCGCCTGTGGAAGCTCAGCCTGCAGATCTTGGCTCGCTACTCCGTGTTCATCAGCGAGGTGAGAGAGCAGCCTGCTGTGAGGGGCTGGTGGTGGGGTGTGTCCCTCAAAAAGGGACTCTTTGAAGCAAAATATGTGACCTCTTTTTAAGAGTTTTGTGAATTTAGTGGTTTTTAACCTTCAAGCAGTTCATGAGTTTGGTTTATAAAAAGTATCACTGCAAAGTATGTGATTAGTCACAAATATCAGTACTGTTGCAGTGCTGCTGTCTGCTGCTTTGGTGGTTGCCAGAGCTGTACTTCATACTGCTTAATTCTGCCTCTGCCACTGAAACAAGAAGCCAAAATCTTAGTTCTCTTCTGTTTGTCTGCTGTTGATTGAGTGAAGTTGTGAAACAGAGCCAGGTATTGTAAATTAAAGGCGACTCCAGCAAAGGGGAGAGAGAGTGATGCATCTGAGTTCATCATCAGAAGGCTGATGAGTTACTTTATTATACTATACTATGTACATTGTTTCTAAACTGAATCTGCCCTGCGCTCACTCTTGCTCACAACTGCACAGACTGCACTCATCTCTTATTCTCTCGTGACTGTCCCGTGACAGTCCAACACACACACACTTCTTGGCCCTGATAGGCCAAGGGAACAAAACATCCTCACTTTGGGTAAACAATCTCTATATTGCCTTCTACTTTAGCACAACACAGGCACAGCAAGCGAGATAAGAATTGTGTTTTCCTTCTTCTCTGCTTGTCTCACAGCTTCTTTCTGTTCAGAGGGCTTGTGAATACCACAGCCAGGAAAAAGAATAACCCTGCAAATAAGAAGGAGTGATATAATCTGGATCAGTTGTTTAGTATTGAGAATGCAAAGCCAAAGTTTCCTGGGCAGCTGACTCAGCATCAATGATCACTGCTTTTGAGCAGAGAAAATGTGCTTTGCCCTTGTACTGCCTGCTCCCAGCTGTACAAGTGAGCCCCTGTTTCTTGTGCCATAGAGAGACAGTACAGTAGAATAACTGGGATTTGAAGAGATTTCTGGAAGTCATTTGGTCCCAATTCCTATTCAAAATAGGACCAGCTTATATGAGGTTGTGCAGAGCCTCTTAAGTTGAATTTTGAGTGTATCCAAAGATGGATATATTTCGAGTATCTCCAAAGATTGCACTCTTTCCTGGGAACCCTGGTCCAATGATTGATTGCTTTTTCCTCCTATGTGGTCAGAATTTCTCTTAGCACAGTACATATCCATTGCCTATTACTCTCTCACTGTACCTCATGGAAAAATCTGGTTCTGTCTTCTCTGTACATGCCCCTTCAGTAGTTGAAGACAGCAGAAAGATCTCTATTTATAATTTCTTTTGTGAGTCAGTGGCTTAGTTCTCTCAGCTAAATCAGCTCATGCAAAGTACTGATAAGTACCAGAGTTAAAACAGAGTAGTCAGGGTAAGCACTTGCCTGACAGCAGAGAGCTTGAGGTGGGAGGAGGAGCTGTTTGACAGCAGGACTGGACTGCCCTCTCTTAACCTTGGACAAATTTGTACTAAATCACCCAACTTTGTAGTGCACTCAAATTTTTTTAACATTTACTTTTTGCATATTTTAGTAATGGTATTTGGTAATATCCCTTGAAAGTGTGGCATTCTAATGCTGAAGGCTTACAAGTCTTTTATGTACTGTTTCAGTTTGTCCAGCTTTAACTGCCTTCACTATTGCTGGGGTTCACACTTCAATTTGATGTTTCAGGTTTCTGTAAGGCCCATTTCCAGTGAAAATACAAAGGAGAGCAAAAAACCTGTGCCAGTTGGTAAAAAGGAATCTTCTTTAAGCCTCAACCCCAGTGAGGACCAAGGAAATGGATCTTCTCCAGAAAATGTACCATTGTCTTCTATATCTAGTACTCAGCTGATATATGTTGCTGCAGATCTGGACAAACTGCAGGATCGGGTTTGTGCTTTTGACTTTACTTAGAAAGAATCTTCATCATTGTTTCTGGCATCTTGTAAGAGCATTAAATTGTTTAAAATAATGTACCATAATTCTTTTTTAATCTTAAATGCCAAAACTTGGGGTGTCTGATACCTGAAATTCATGGTCTACTCTGTGCTTATTTGGAATGGCAGATTATGGGCAAACCACTTCAGGTATTTAAATTCTTTTTATCAGTAGCTGCTGGACTTAATTCCTAAAATAATATCTTTCTGAAGTTTTTTGGTGTGAAGTGTCACTCTGCCAATCTTACCTTTTCTAGTGAAGTCTCTGCTGTAGCTTGGAGTGGGGTGTAACATTCAGCTTTAATGTGTTTAAGTGTTTGCTGGTTTTAGTCTTTGAGGTTGGAAAAGGTTTTATCATCATGATTGTACTTGATTAATGATCCAGAATCTTGAGGAGAGATGTATGTTGTTAATTGTCTCCCAGTAGGGATGATTCCTATGTATTTATTTTCAGTAAGGCTGAATTTTATGTAATTTGTGAACTTGTAAATTGCAGGAGGTTTTGTTAATTCTAAATTATTTCCTCTGAGTACAATAATAAGGTAGAGGATTTAGTGTGTAAGCCTAAATTCCTGTGCATATTGTAAAGTTTTAGTATTGATTGTACAGAGATGCAGTAAAACCATAGAAATTGAGGGTGTTTTGTGATGCAATTCAAACTTACAGGATGTAGGAAAATAAATTAAAATTTTTATAACATGACTATATCTCTCTTGATTTTGGGTTTTTTTTTTCAGATTCCTGACATCTTAGACATGATTAAACCAAAGCTTGAAATGATTGGCTTCAAGAATATGTCTTGCATTTCAGGTAAAGCTGAGAGGCTCCTTCTCCTTTCTCCCAAATCCCCTCTGCCAAAAAAATGAAATCAACTTTTACAGTTTCATTATTTAGGGTAAAAATACTTAATGAAATTTGCCTTCTGTTTAAATTGTTAAATAGAAACAATCTTGAACAGATCTGTTGAGTCTAGAAACTGCTTAACAATTAAAATGGAGTGAGTCTAAAGTGCTTTTAGGATTTTTCTCCAGAAAGTGAGGACTTTATCCTAGAAGACTCATATCATTAAACTTTTGAAATAATTGGGGAAGAAAGCAAAAGGAGAGGCTTTCCATTATCCAGTGGAAACTAAAATATTTTTCTAAAATGACTGTTCTCTCTTAGGCCTGATGGGTCATTTGAGGCAGAGGGTTATCAAAGTATCATAGTTAAATATCTTAACTTCAGAGAGTAGAAGCAATGCAGTATTTTAGTCTCCTTTTTTCTTTCTGGGTTTTTGGTTTGGGTTGGTTTGGTTTTTGGCTTTGTCTCTTTGGTTCATTTGTTTGTTTTTGTTGTTTTTTTTTTTTTTTTCTGATAATTCTTTATGTGAAATATGGAGTTTGATTTTAATTTAATAATTAAAGCTAGACATGCATGAGTGAACTAGTCCCTGTCTGCAAGCAGAGCCAGGAGTTCTGCATCATGAATTCTACTGAAATCTCTAAATCAGCACTACTGATAGATGTCCAAGTCTATTAGAGATGTAGGAGCTCCTGCACATCCCCTGCTCAGTAGATGGTCTGTAACCAATCTCGGCTTTGAGTTGAACATACTCCAGTAATTCCATAGGGAATTTGGAGAGGATTTCACAGTTTCTTTGGAAGGTCAGAGCCTTTTGATTCAAGCCCTTGCCTCATTGGTAATACTGGAAAAACTTTGAACCTGAAGAATGTCACTTTACTCCTCTTGTCTTTCCTTGCCTCTGTCTGTGTTTCTGGCTGAGGAATGGTTGGTATTACTGGCCGTGTTTTATAAGTGGCTGGGGTGTATTTATTTGGTAAGCATATCCTGTACTTGACCCCAGACAGTGAGTGGGATTAGGAAGCTGAGGGGATTCACATAACTTGTGTTTGGGCAGGGTAGCTCAGTTTAAACTTCAGCATTTTGACTTTAATAGGAGCCTTGGAAGATTCAAAGACTTCTCTCTCAGCCTGTGTGCCTACCTTGAATAACAGGATCATCCAGGATCTCAGTGAGTCCTCTTTTGCGTACCTGAAGAGTGCACTGGAAGTTCCAAGATTATATAGGAGAACCAACAAGGTCAGTACTGCTTGCAAATGAAAAAATAAATCTCAGAAGGGCTTGTGCTGAGATTATTGTGAGTTCTTTGAGCCTGTCCATATCTGCTTGACAGAGCCTATGACAATGTCTTCAACCTAGTGAAGTATGGTACAAAGCTGTAGGTATTTTAACAAAAGTGTAATGGTCTGTTTTGGGCACTGAGTCTGCTCAGCTTTGTCTGGAATCAGTAAGAGCAGAAAGAGCATTCAAGATCATACCCTGGTAATAGGAATGGTTTGGCACATGCATCTCTGAAAAAGCTTTGGGCATTTTGAACCTTGTTCTGTATTATATTGAATAATTTTGTGATGGTGTCTTCCACGTGTATAAGGATCTCTTCGTTGACTTGTCCTAAATGGTTTATGTATCTCTTTGCTTTAGGTACAGCATTAGCATTTTTTACATGTGCTAGAATTGGGTGTTGATGCTTTGAGTAATTAAATGACTGGTTCCTTCTTCCCCAACTTGTTTCCCTGTCGTCTGCCAGGAGGTGCCAACTAAAGCCTCACCTTATGTTGACAGTGCTCTTAAGCCCTTCCACCGACTGCAGAATGACTACAGAGACACCTTGAAGCAGCCCATGATTCATCAGTGGTTGGAAGGGGCTCTCTCTGAAAGCACACAGAAGTAAGAAAAACATACAGAACATTACTTGCCTTAGTTAAAAACTCTAATGTCTATGGAACAGGCACAGGAAAAAACCAAAATGCTATGAATTAACACAACTGTAAAGAAAATCAAAATACAGCACTCTTTGGGTGGGATATATTTCCTTTGATTTGCTCTCATATTGCATGTTTAGCAGATGAAAAGCTGGGCAGGGAATCCAAAAACCTGGTTCCTGCTCAGATCTGTGCAAACCATGATGAGGTGGATAGGATGTTTGAAAATTTGGTTAGTTCTGGGAATGCAACAGTGAACTAAAGATGTGCAGAATTGATGTAAGACCTTAAATTCATTGCTTTCAGTGAAAGTTACTAACCTTGTTACTTTCAGTGAACAGTGGTTGAATTTTCAAGAATTTGAGTTCTACTGTCCTTTGTCTTCTTTAATGTATGCTATGATTATCCAATTTTTTAGTGATTTAAAAAAAAAAGCTCTGGGCTTTTTAAACTGCTGAAGAGCTAGTTGTTCACAATTTTAATAAGGCAGTCATAAAGTAATACTTTCTTTAGCAGATCTTCTGTTTCCTAGTTAGCAGCTTGAGGGCTTTTGAACATGAGTAGTCGTATGCATTAGGATCCTTTATGGATTTTTTTTTCCATCAGTCTAGCTGTATTTTAAATTCTTACTGAGCAGGGATTTTGCATTTTGTGTGTTCTGCCAGTTAAAGCATGTAACATGAGACAGCAGTACTTGTTTTTGTTGAAAGTTCTGCCAGAAAATTTCACAGGACACCTCCTACTTTTTGTGTTGTGGACAATTTACTCTTTGTGTCAGCTATATTTTTTTTATCTCTAACCTTGCCTAAAACTAAAGAGTCATCTTAGCCTATTTGGATGGGGTTTTTTTTTCCTTTTCCCATATTTATAGCTATGCTTTGGTTGGTTCTCTTTGACCTTTCTGACCATAGATGATAACATCAGAAGAATCCATGCAGGTTAAAGTATAATGTGTGCTTTCTGTCTGTCCTTACATGGTTTTTCCCAATAATTCTTTGCATATTATATTGTTTGTTGGCTGCTGCTGAGCATAGATTGATTTTTTTTTTTCTCCCTGAGATTTAACCACATAGTAATACTGCAGTTTTAAACTAAAAATAGTCAGAACAGGAATTTTTTCTTACCCTTTGCTTCCTTATGCCTCCCTGCTCTTCCTCTTCTGGTACTTTTCAGAATGGACATAAAATTGTAAGACAATTTTACACTTTCACCAACCATCCTTAAAATTTTTTGTAAGTATTTTGGACAGGGCTAAGCTTAGGTTGATCTTGACTGCACTGGCCGTTGTCTTTTTGCAAGCTTGGTGTCTCTTTACCAGTTTTTAGTGCATGGAAAAAAGCTTATTTTTATTTGTTTAGTAACATTGCTGAAGAACTGCAAAGATTCCTGGAATCTCAATCCACTCAAGGTTATTGAGCTAAAATATCTTGGGATAAATTCTTGTCTGTCTCTCTACATCTGGGTGCCTGGTTAGTCTTGCTTTTAAAGCTTAGGTAAATCTGGTGACACCATGCAGAGCAGCTGTTACATAGTTCCTTGGACCCAACCAGAGCTTTTTTGCCCCCCAAAAAGCAGTTCTTCACTTTCCAAAACTTAGGTTAAACATGATGGCAGTGGTTAATCACCAATAAGACTGGCAGGTTCATTTCTTAATTCCTTAGAATTTTCTGTCAAATTCTGTTTGCATGTTTACTATTTTCATAATTTTGTTTTAAAATATCCTCATTGGCAAGCGACAGGTCAAAGAAACTGAATTTCTTACACGGAGGAGTATTGTAGTTTATTTATTGAGAATACAAACAATTTCTTGCTGTGATAATACATTCTTATATATTCACATCCAAATGAAAAAACAGAAAAGAGCATAAACTAGGTAAAAATCACTGGGGACTAAATTTGCTTAAATGGCAGAAGGATTTAGGAGTACAACAGAAGTAGGAATTAATCACAAGTGAGTGGGACTAGGAAATACCAAGGTATGAAAAGAGGACACGACTGACTTTTACTGGAATACTTTTACTTTTCATAGAATGCTGTCGTGAAACAAGTTTCCATGGCATTGGCGAGCACTTTTTCTTTAGCCATCCCTATCTAATTACTTTTTTTAAAAGCTTTTCTGCTTTTGGTTGCCTTCTTGTTTAAAATCATCAGGAAGATTGTTTCAGCTCTTAATTCTTACAGTAATATTTTTCATAGGCTCTTTGAAAGTTAGGTATTTTAGCAAATTACAGAACATAGCTCAATCTGGTCATTTCTCTCATGGATTTTTTAATTTCCCATTGTTGCTCTGTTTTCCCTTCTTATTGTTAGCTCACTGTCCTGGGCATCTGTTAATTTGTATGATATGCTGTTTCCACTTAGGCATGGGGTTTCAGTCCAGAAGACTTTTTGAACTTTTGTTGAGTAGATCTCTGATTCTGTGCTTTCTCTGATGTTGATTCTTTCTTCGTGGGCAATGGTATTTTATTTTATCTCTACCACTTCTAAATTAGGGTTAGGGTTCTTGTGACTTTTCCTGCCAGCTTCCTGAGACTCCTGTTTAAATCAGTTTCTTCATTTTAAACTGACTGGTGTGCCTATGTGTACTGTCATATACACTTTTATAACTTGCCTAAAAATATATGGGTTTTGGTCTGTCAGGCTGGTATTCCTGTCCTGTTTATAAAATTGAGTATTATCAGTGGTCTACTGATTGTAAAGAGAGGCTGATTTTGACTGTTTAAAATTGAGCAGTTGCATTCCTTGGTCACTATTGAGTACAGACATCTTGAACAAGTCAAAAATGTTGTGATGAGGAGTCTTCAAGACTGAATAGGAATCTTCAGACTAACCTCTGGAACAAATAATGGAAATACTGTTTAATTGATAATGTTAATCATTAGCTTCTTTGCAAGGGAAGCCATTCCTTCTGGCATTGTTCAGCAGGGCCAGTGATGTACTTCTGTGTATGAAGTAGGCTCTTCTGTAAAGTGGAATTTTTTCTTTCTCATTACCTTCCTTAATTCAGGTATTATGAAACTGTATCTGATGTGCTTAGTTCTGTTAAGAAAATGGAAGAGAGTCTAAAAAGGTTGAAGCAAGCAAGAAGAACTGCAACTTCAAACCCTGTTGGTACAAATGGGGGCATGAGTGATGATAACAAAATCCGACTCCAGCTGGCCTTAGACATTGAGTATTTTGGAGAACAAGTAAGTTATGACAAACGACTTTCTTCTTATTATTAATAGTTTTGGAAGGGAGATGGAAAAGGAAAGGGAACCTTGACTCCAGTTTTGGTCTTGAAAGCTTTGGTGGTGTGGGTTTGGGTTTTTGTTTTGTGTTTTCACATTTGTATAAAGAAGATTATTTCAGACCTTGGTGGTTGTAGATACCACTTCAGCAATGCATACTTTCCTATCCTTTCTTGTACAAATACAAAGCGTATATTTCTTACTACTTAAAATTCAAGTACTGCTCAGTGCTTGGAAGCGTTAAGAATAAATGTTGTCCTTACAGATGAGAGGGCAGGGACCTTACTTAGGTGTGATAGAAACTTCTTTATGGCCTTTCTTTTGTTTGTCTTCTGTCGGGGCGTTTCCAGCCTTGACTTTCTGCATGGTCAGGGTCTGTTCCCAAGAGCTGTGAGGATGTCAGCCTGATTTGTTGTGCTGCATAACTGTAACTGATTCTCAGTGCCAAATACGAAATTTTAAATAGCAAAACAGAAAATATTCCAAGAAATGCATGCAGTAGCTACATTAAATTGTATAAACATACTGTTTTGTACTCCTTTATTTCTAAAAATCATATCTATTCCAACTAAGAGTCAAATCATATCTATTCCAACAATGGTATTCTATCATAGCTATTCCAGCTAAGAGTGTATATCATTATGCAAGGAATTGTCTGATCTTGTTTGTGAGCAGATACTGCTGATGCATTCTAGCAGGTAGATTAAGTCTGCTTGTGTGTGAGCAGATGCTTTTCTCAGATATGAGACTAATCACAATTGGGTGGAACTGTGGAGATCTTACTAACAAAAACTATTATCTGTCACCTTTTGCCTGGGGTTGAGCTGTTGTTCTTTTCCATGACAGCAGTGTGATTTTAAGCTGAACTGGGACAGATTTTTCATACTCATTTGGAGATGTTTTGGTACATGTGACTGTTACAAAGAGGTCCAGCAGCAAACACCTTTTCAGAATCACTTCATTATGGTTTTAGTTAGATCCAGATTTTTCTGCTTCACTGCACTCTTAGTTTTTTCATGGCCATATTTTTCTTATTGTCAGAACAAGAGATTTCCTGGCTAAGAAATTACTTTCAGCAACCTCTGTAATTGTAGAGTTGTTTTTGTCTCCCAGGAAGTTCCAGGCTAGAACCATAGGCTTTTGCAGCCTATTGAAATGCTTTCACCATCATGCTGTTGGCTCTTCTTGGATGTATTCACATTGATCTTTAAAGTATTGCCCAGAAACTTCATTTGGAGTGGGAAAAAAAAAAAGAATCAGTTGAAATCAATGCATTAAAACCAACTGCAGCCAAGTTTCTCTTTCTAATTGCTTCACTGGGAAACTTCCAGCTGGCTTTAGTTACAAGTTGCCTAGAAGATGGTGAAATATTTCCCTGCAAGACACTTCTGTAACCAGAGAGACTTAACTGAGCAAAGTTGGATGCAAATATTTACAGTTTGCACTATATGCAGTTGTGGTTTTTTGCCACATGTCAGTACAGGAGAAAACATAGGCTTCACTAAGTATTTTAAGCAGAATAATTATTGGGTTTTCAGTGTTTTAAAGAAAATTAATGGGTTTTCTGTATCTTTTTAGATCCGAAAGATGGGACTGGAAACAAGCAGCATAAAAAGCTTTTCAGCCCTTGCAGAGCTGGTTCTAACTGCCAAGGATCAAGCTACAATGGAACCATCCTAGATATTTTTGAAAGCATGTGATTGAAGATAAACAAGGTCCCTAAAAGAGAGAGAGAGAACTCTGCTTTGTTTTACCAAATAAATAGCAATTAAGTGCTTCCTGAAGTATCTCAAGCAGCAAATCAGTGTATCTTCTGCCTTGATGAACCTGCTTCACCAAAAGACTGAGACTTTATCAGTTATCCATTATATGGAAAGCAATCAAAGTTCTAAACGTTCTACTATAGAATAAAAGTAGAAGAAAATGTTTTTCTTATTTTTGTTGTACAACGAAAAAGTTCTGTGTTGAAAATTATATGTAATAAATTGTCTTCCTAACGTTTGATGTACCATATGTTTTTGAATCAAATGTATTGGTTGATGGCTGTGTTACAACCCACTCCAGAGGCAAAGTAACTGAGGTTCTTGTTAACTGAACCTTGATCAGAGTGAAAGGACACTGAGTGACCAGAGTTTATGTATCTATATATACACATAGAGCTATATCTATCTGTCTATCTGGTTTATTTTAGAGCAGTTTGGTTGCAGTGAAGGAAAGGTATGTAGCTGTTTTGATGATTGTCTATAGAAATAGAACAATATGAAAGTAATATCATTTAATATATAAGTATATCATTTAATATAAAAGATATCATTTAAGAAAATATATAAGGAAAAGAAAGAAAGAGAAAATATATGAGTACGTAGTAGAGATGAAAGACATCACCATCCATGGATCCCACAACAAGACTTGATTGTTGCCATTTCAGTTGTTTGGTGGTCAAAGTAATGGTCACAGTCATGATCCATCAGGGGTGGGGGAAGTCCATGAGACAAAGAGGGTTCATACATGGGTTCAGTGGGTTCATGCATGTTTTGATTCAGGTGGGAATGCCCTGGTACCTCCCCTGAGGGGGAGGTCTATGCTGTCTGATGTTATCACTGTGAATCATGTGCAGTCCTCTGGTGGGAAGCCCCAGAAATGAGTCTGCGGGCACATCAGGGTTGTTGGTGGTCACAGACTCCATCTGTCCCATAACTTAGGGTGATTTTGAACAGTGATATGAGTATGAGCATTTGCTTTCTCTCCCACAGTTTGCCAGAGAATTTTTGTCTGGATGCATTAACCAGGATGTGCTAACCAGATCTCACCAGTGACAGGTCTGGAATCAGCACCTTCCTGTCACAATTCCTCCATTCTGTGCTTACCTCCAGTTCCTGCTGTGGTGGCTTATCTTATGGCAACTTCTGTCTGTGGCCTTGGCAGTGCTTGAGACAGGCAGCCGTGTGCTTTAACTCTTTACAGGTTGTCAAAAACTTCCAAATGTTATTCCTGCTCTCCTGGGAGAGCAGCCTTGGTCTAAGGCTGGTTCAAAGGAGAAAGCTTGGAGGGAGCCATGTTGTGGCAGTTCTGTGTTCCCCTTGGCATGCCTTTTGCAGCTGCAGTGTGCTTGGAGCTCTGGGCTTGGTCATTTTCGGAACCCTAACCCTAGGCCTGGCTCTAACCCTAGGCAGAGCTGGATAAAGTGCTCTCAGGAACAGGATTCTGCTATTTCTCATTGCTGCTTTGCTCCTTCATCATGGGATATGCTTAGCTCTTGTTTGAGTTTTGAATGTTTTCATTTAACTGATGTGGTTTTTTTCACAGACCATGTTGGTGTGAAGGGCTGTGTGACAAAAACTCATAAAGTAATTTAAATTTTTAAAATAATTTTTACTGCAAGTATCTTACTTGAATGTTATTACATTCAGACTACCTGTTTTCCTTCAAATTCAAACTTAATTCACTAAGCTAGAATTTATTCAAGGCTGGCATATTTCTTATTTGTATTATATTATCTATTAGAATTTACTTGCCTACATGTAGAATTTTTGTTACTTCCAGCCTAGTTACACCAGTGAAAGGTGCATCTTTATTTAGCAGGAAATTTGAAAGTGTTACTAGGGTTTAAAATGGTAGAGGGAGTAACAAAGAGCTTTCTTGAACCTAGAGAGATCTGCCTATTGATGGTTCTCATTCACATGTGAAGGACAGGCAACATAGTCTGGGCACAGTAGGAGTTGAATTTAGGGCTTTAAAGTCAAAAAATGCCCTGGGTTTTTTTGTGTTTTGGGGTGGTGGTTTTTTGTTGTTTGTTTTTTGGTTTTTTTTTGTTTGGGGTTTTTTTTTGTTTGTTTGTTTGTTTGTTTGTTTTTACCTTGTGAAAATTTAACACTGGAATTTTAGTTCCAGATTATTAATTAAAAATACCTGTTTCTTCTTAAAGTATTTAGAGAGCTTGGGACTTAATGCCCAGGTTATGCAAATTTTCCAAGTACTTAGAGATAGGAGGTGTGTAGCACATGGCTATTGGGTGAAGTGAAATTGTAGTGAACAAACCTTTCACGGCTTGAGGGCTTTCATTTCTCACTGTTGGAAACTGATCACATTTTAGTTGAGAGGACACAACCATGATATCATGGTGCTTTTGAAGCAATTAGGAAAGGTGGCTGTTAGGACTTTTCTAACACTGATTTTTTGAAGGGAGACAGTGAGGAAAGAAGCCGTGCTGCTTAAAATTACGTGGTGGTGCTTGCATTCAATCTTGAGTAATGGAGAGTAGGATTTGGCTTTTCTAATTTGCTTAGTGTCTCTCTGTTCATGGCACATACACAATCAAGGGAGCATCCACAGCAAAGTGAACCAACTTGTCAGATGACAGATCTGTTTGTCTCTTTCAGGCCTGTGGAAATCCTCAGCCTTAGGCACACACTGCTGAGTGGATATAACTCTTAGTGCTTATGAACAAGGAGTTTGTGTACCTATTATATTTTCTAGGCTTCTAATAGATGAACACAGAAAGCATGTTCTCCCCACACCTCTTAATTTTCTTAAGAGTCAGGAGTAGAAATGTCACCCTAGTTCTAGCTACTGTTGTTTTCAGCAATAATGTTTTAATGTTTTCTTATTATAAAATGGACGTGTAAGTTGTAGCCTGAGACTAAGATTGTAGGATTGCAAATGCACTGTGCAACTGCTCACTTCAGCAGGACTGCATCTCTATACAGTTAAATTTCTACAACAGCTGTCACCAAAGCAGCAGATTCTGAGACCTGTACAGACTAGTGATTGAAAATAGAACAGTTTTGTTTGTATCCTCCAAAGCAGGGGAAAAGGATATAGTCTGTGTACCAAACCAAAAAGGCACAGAGAGATTACTTACACTTAAGTTGCAGGTGATTTTCCACATCTTCCTGCAATAACAATGCTTCCTACTTGTCTTCATCAACTTTCTGGGGATTTAGGCTGAATTCTGTTTTTCTTCCATCGAAGACCAGCTTTAATTTCAGGGCAGGAAATAACATTGTGTAGCAAATCAAAATTGCTGAATGGTCCTATGATTGCTTTAAATGTCTGTATCACTGGTTCTGTGTCAGTTCCCCATCTCTTATTCTTGTTCACTTGAATAGGATTGAATTTTCTTTCAGTGGAATAATGCATCAGTTAAGAATTTGTGTGGTACAACCATTGAAAGAAAGGTGTGAATTAACTTTGGTAAACTGAATTTTAGCATTTCAAACACTGTGGATCATTGAGAAGATGGTCTACCATGTAAGTGCTCAAATGGAGGTGTCTTCTGCTACTAATCCTATTTCTTCTATCCCTTAAGTAATTTTTGAAGTGCACTTCATGACAGTAATGCAATTTTGATTTTCTGCCTTTTTCTTCTTCCATTCTAGAACCTTTAGAAAACTTGCTATGCCTTTCTAATCTTGGAAGGAATTTAGCTGGAAGAGGTTTTGTACAATATTGAGGAGAGAAAGAGCAGTGTTATGTCTTCCTTTAAAATGGTAACTGGGTTCTCAACTTGGTATGTTATACCAGAAGTGGACCAGACTGTTCTAACCTCATTGTCTAATGATAACTAGCACTATGTGTATTTGGCTGGACCACTCAAGCAATATTTTCTCTCTTTTTTCCATCAACCATTGTATTTTCTAGGTCATACCAGAAGGGATGAGGAAGCAAAGTGCATAGATTTCTTAAAAGTTGTGTTTTTTATGCTGTCCGTAAATTTTCTGCTATGCTTAGGGATAAACTGTGCTGTCTGATGAAACCTAAAGAGCTCATCTTTGCCTTTGTTCTCTTTCTTCAAATCTCCCACTTTTAAAGTCTGAGTTCAGGTGCTCATTCACTAGATTATTAGGCTGTAAATTGCTTTTGGGATCTCAGTATGAGAGTAGTGTCTAGGATGCTTGGAATGTGCATCATGGTGTGCCTGACAGAGGAATTTGGTACAATTGGAGGAGAGTGAAGAGTAAAAAATGCCATGAAATTTTACATGTAAAATTGATGTCAGAAACAAATCTCAGGAGAGTATACATTGTGAGGTAGCTTATCTTGTTGGTGTTGTAGCATTTGCTCCAGCACTTCTCTCTTTGCAGTCCTTATTCTGGTCAGTTTACTTTTAGTTCCTTGTCTCTGCCCTTTTCTTCTTCCTTTTCATCTCCAGGGTGTCAGTGGAGAGGTGCTCTCCACCACAACACTTCTTTTCTGAACAGTGTGTTTGATGGTTTTGTTTTGTTTTTCTGCCTGTAACCACTGAAGAGGGATATAGAGTTCCAGAGCATGTGGCCCCTACGTGTGAGTAAAGGCATTTTCCCCTTAACTTGGTCAGTGTACCCAGAACTTATTTATGGACAAAATAAACCAGAACTCATTTATGGAAAAAAAGCCCAACTGAACTGCAGCAAAGAAACTTGGAAGTGAGTTTATTTGCATCTTTCTACCTCTGCATGTTCATACTTAATTACTTCTGTATATAATACAAGTACAGTATTTAGATGTTAGAGCATCTGGAGTCCATACAGTATAAATGGATAAATACATGGATGCTGTATCCTAGCATTCTTGGGGGTTATTTTATTTATTTTCCATGAAGCTACAGGGATGTGTCACATATCCACATCACTGACACCAAGCTGCTGGCATTAGTGCATTTACTTAGACACACATTTGGGCCACTGTGGATGGTAATGAGCTGCTGTGCGCTGTAGGATATGTCTTGCATGATCTGCCAAAGAGATTTGCAGTTATTTTTAAGTGCCATCAGTGCTAACAATAAACCTAGAGATGAGAGGTGGAAATCCTTGTTCCAGGCTTTCCTTAGTACCAAGGTTTGTCTCCCAGTTCCTCACTTCAAAGAGTCATCTAATAATCTCTTGTTCCACTTATTTGTTTCAAAGTTTTATGACTCTGTTAAGAGTTGGACTGGACTGCTGAAATAATTTTATTCACA